GTTTCAGATGGGGTATGAGTCTAATTTAGTGCTAGCTATAGTATTAAATAGGCGTCTGATATTTCAACGTTTTTACTAAAGAATTTAAGTTTTCAAATTCATCTATTAAAAACTATTTACATACTACTTTGGTAAATATGTGAAATGTTTTATAGAAGAAGATTCTCAAATAATTTTGAGATGATTTTTGTATACATTTTATGCTCAAATACCAAATTTTTTTTTTCTTGTTTATTTGTTTAAATGAAAATAAACATAAAATATATGCAATGACCCTTACCAAAATGTATGATCCTGCCATTTGTCATATGACAATAGATATTATAAAAAAAAATGTCTTGCAAAAATTCTCTTGTAATAATCCCATAGTTTAAATGTTAATGTAAAAATGTAACCAGATCCGATAGGTTTAGATCATGACATTTTTTTCCTGGCTCTATTTCTGTGCAACATTATCTTCAAACCTTTTATCACAATTCTGTAAGTTTGTTTTTATTATCAAAGGTGCTCTAACGAGGTCAGAAAGCCTAAAACCATAAAAATTGAAATTTTTGTTTAGAGTAAGTGATGTAGTTAAAATGGAAAATCTCCATTCTAACACTATCGGAAATTTTTCTATATAAACAAAGAAGACCCGAAGCGTGCATTATTCTACAACAATGCACTCGCCGTTCTTATTATCTCCCTGTGTATTTTCACATTGAGGGTGCCATTTTGTTTGAAAATCTGATAAATAAAAACAATTTTTTGTCGAATTTTGTTGTGAAAACTATCTAGAATGAAAAGAAAAATTGGTCTAACTAAGAAAATGAATTCCAAACACCAATATTCTTTAATTTTCAGTCGTTAACGCTGTACAGACGTTTAAAGTGTTGTTTACATGACGTCACAATGTGCGCCAAACAGCACGTGCAAAAACAATCAAAATCAAGTACGCTATTTTAATGTCGCAGACGAGTTTAAGTTTTACATTTATTTCACGTTTTAATAATTTTGTATTTCGCTTGGAAAAAATTAAAAGACTGAAATAAAATAAACAAACAAAGTTTTATCAACGTTTTCAAAATTTCGATTATTCTCAAAATTGTTTCTACTCCACGGTTAGATTTAACGACAGTTTTTTTCAAACCACTGGGAACGGCCTTTTAAAGAAGTTTCTATTGGAAACTCTTTGAGGCGAAAACAAATTTTTTAACCACCAAACATAAAGTCCCAAACTTTATATAATAATAATTATATATTTTTTCCCCCTTGACGTGTTAAAGAATGGGGAAAATAAGATATTAAAATTTTCTTCATGGGGGGAATTTATTGTTTTATAATAATGCACGTTTTTCGTTCAAATGCTTTGTAATTAATCACTCAGGCCTATCGGCCTTCGTGATTATATTACTACGCATTTGAACTCAAACCGTGCATTATGCTACAACAATGCACTCAGAATTGATATCTATTTCCTAATTAGATAATAAAAAAATATAGATCTTCTCAAAGTTATGTTGAAAAATGCGTTAAGTAAAGTGTTGCAAAGTTGTTCAGTTTTTGGTCATTTTGCATGATAAAATTTTCTTGGAACAGTGTGAAGGAATGACCTGAAATTTTGCACAAAAGTTATTAATACAGACCTACATCAAACGTTACACAATTCCCAGTAAAATATATTTCCAGTCCCTCCATGTCAAACAAGCTTGGTGGAGTCCTTTTAAAGAGGGTATGCCATGGAATTTGTTTAATTTCGTTACTTTTTTCCTTACTAGAACACAAAAATGGTTTTGTATTTGCTGGACAAGTCTTTTTCCATCACCATCATCATCACTATCATCATCATGAAGCAGAGTATGAAATACTTGTGATGAGTGTTTGATGTTCATTTGTTTATCAGCATCATGTATTTTATAGAACACCTTGTAAATAATTATACTAATTTTGGCTAAACTCTTAAAGGAATGTTTACAAAAATGGCATGCAAGCTTTCTGTAATTTAAGAAGCAATCTCTGAAATAAATTTAAGTGGAGCGATGGCCTAGTGGTTAAGGTGTCTGCCTCTCAAGCCAGGGATCATGGGTTCAAGCCCTAATCCGGTCACGACCATGTTTCTTCATATGACACCAGTACTGGTTGGTTCCAGGACGCGGACATGAATGTGATTAATATAAGTTGCAAGAACTTGTTTCGCAATCAAGCTTAAATAAATATGTTTAAACCAAATAAATATTGCATCTGTGAGGAATAATCTTAAATATTGTTCTTTGTCCTTCAAAAATACAGCCTCTATTGACACAATAGAGGTATATTTACAATTAATGTTCAAAAGGAATCTTAGCTGGATGTAGCGATCTAATTTCCTAGATGAATATCTTTTGTTATTTCTCTAAAGAAAGGCTAAAAATACATTACTACACAAGAGATTTTACTTTCTTAATCAAGTACAATCATGTAGATCTTTCATTATAATGCTTATCATGGCAGTATATTCATTTTAATTTCAATGTTACATTTATGAAATGTGATTTTCACTTATTTTTCTGTGTAATTATATGTCTAAAAATGCTGATAACATTTTATTACATAAAAGGTAAAAGCAACATGCATATAAAAAGGAAAAAAAAAATTCCTCTTTTATGTTCAATTCTATCTTTACACTATAGACCATCGTCATGTAATTTTAAAATCTTACAACTCATAACTGTGGTACAGATTGCTTTAAGTCCATCTACATGATGGAACTTTATGTATCCAATACTACAGAAAAATGGCAAAATTAAAAATGTGCAGTTAAAATGAACATGTATGATACATGTGTATATTTGGTTATCTGTGATTATACTTTTATTATATTTGCTTAAAATGGAAGCTACAGTTTCCAGAATATATTTATAAAAAATTTGCAATAGTAATTCCTTTTAAAGCATTTTAAAGTAAATTTATAGTAAAATGTAGGTTTTAACCCCAAGCCTATTGATGGCAAATGAATCTACCCATGTGACCAGTGCAGACCAAGATTGTCGAGCACATCTTCAGGCCTGATCATGGTCTGTTCTATTTGCTATTCATTCAATACTTTTTTTGAAAATACATCTAAAAGCTGAAAAATAGTTGTCATAATTTGCTGAAATAACTATTCTATCAGATAGGGCTTCCATATTTTTGGCCACTTCATAACTTTGGACAAGAGTATGGAGTTCTTGAAATATGACCTTGCTGACCTTTAAATGTCCAAAAGTTAAATTTCACTGTAATTTTGTTATTTAATAGCATATGTTATGATTAACAACATATGTGTTTTATGAACATATATTGTGAAACTTTCTTTTTCTTAATACCACCTTGCTCCGAGGACGTTAGTTAACGTCCAATATTTAGTTTATAATAATATTTCTAGAAAGTCATAGAATTGAACGAATTGATTTAAATGAACATTATTTTATACACATATATATAATATATATATTGTTAATTTAGCTGTGAAATATACCAATAACCATAGCAACAGTACAAAGTAATAATTTTAGTATTGCAAATACCAAAATAACTTGTGTTATAGTGTTTATTTTTTGTTATTATTTCTTTGTTAAATATACTGATTCTTTAATGCATGCATGGTAGATTTACCAATACTGACCAAAAATAAAATCTGTGTCAAGAATTGTGCGTTTGTTTTTATTTATGGCAGGCAATTAACTAGGTTTATGTATATAATCGGCAAGTTTGTTTTCCGAAACTGTTTAACAATACAGTATGCCCACTGGGCCTTTGCCGCAGTGGGATAGAATCCTGCCTGGGATTGAATATTTTCATATGAGGAAAGTATCCAAGGAGCATGAGGGATTTTGGCTGTTCGACAAAGGTGCCCCAGCCTCATGTCAGTGATAATGCATGGAGAGGCATCTTGAGGTCTTCTCCACCAGTAAAGCTGGAAAGGCATATTAATGTAACAATGTTGGTATAACTTAAAGCGGAAGGTCCCAAAGAATTTTGAAGAAATTTTTTTTCAACCCAAAAAAGCGTATATTCGTGTCAGACAGCAAGTCAAAGCTATTTACTCCTGGTTTTTAATAGGTAAAAAAGTAAGAATTATTTAAGTCTCCAGCATTACCTTGAAGGGTGTAGTGAAATTGTCAGGCAGTATAATGACTATCCGTAAAACTGTAACAGCAATGACAAGTAAGCGATTGGTAAGTTTGATAGGTAGAGTTGTGGACTGTGAGCAACCTGGGTCCCAGATGGTACAGGTCACCAAAGAAACATACAAGGTGGCTGAACTGTGCAATGGTGAATTTAAAACTATTGACTGGTTAACTACCAACACCACCACCACAGATGTGATAAGTATGCATAATAAGTTTTTAAGCAATATTTCATAGGGATAAGTGAAAGAATAGATGTTACAAAACCTTTACCAAGTTGAGTTCAGTTGTAAAAGGGACAAAATCTTTATAGATACAACAACATCTTTTTATCTCTTGATCATGATGGTCATATGTATGTATACCATTGCTTATAATGGGTTCAAAGAAGTCACTGTAATTTTAGTTTGGAAATAATATGAACAAGAGCTGTCGATAGGACAGTGTGCTCGACTATTCTTAGTTCTTAATAGTAAAACAAAAGCATTGATTATGTAGAATTTGCTTTGTTAAAAAAAGCTGAAAAAGAGCTATAATTCTGTTAAAATCCATGTTAAAGTTATGAGAAATGAACAGTGACCTACTATAATTCTCCCAAATAAGTGTGAAAAGTTTCCCTGCAGTAGTTGTGGAGATGTCTACACACAAAAAACTTAAGTAGTTACTACACACAAGTGTGATGCTGACACCTACCCCAGGGTGGGTACATATTAAGATTATCCTATTCTTCCCATAGTCAATCTAATAATGATTTGGTTTACTAGCACACTTTGTTAAGAGTAGAAATTACCTCTCAGTATAAGATGGACTGTAAAATTATTTTTATATCACCCTGTTGATTACGTGAAAATGTTTTAATGTAAACAAAGAAAACAAATTAGTGAATGTATATATTTATTGTCGGTCATCAGCTAATATTGGAGTGTGTAAAAGTTTCATTTGGTCAACTGTCTTATTATAACTCTGATCTCTTTGTCGTTTGTAAGGAACACTTTGATTGGCTACAGGTAACCCTGAGTAAGCCTGTCTCTGATTGGTTGGCTGATCTTTTGAAATATCCCTCTTTCTTTTATATGGGTTGCAAACAACAGGTGATGTAAAGTTGACGTGCTCACCTCGAGCTGTTTGTACAACACTGTCAGTATGATGATAATTACTGCTGTGTGATGGTAAACTAGACACTGACTGATTTCCTGAATTACAACTTGTTGTAGAAGTACCCGAACAACTTTCAGAGTAACTAGACACTGTACTTGTACGGGTTTGTTTCCTCTTCTCATTTCTCTGGCCTTTTTTCATTTCTCTCTCAAAGTGTTGTCTGAAACAAAAACATCATATATGACCGATTGATTTGTTTTGTAAGGCCCCTTGTCTTATAGTATTCAATCATATACCACAGGTTATCGACGTGGCACCAAGCACTACCCCAGAACCTACCCAAATATCCTTCCACCCATTCAAAAATACATGTCAATATAAAATATATACAAAGAGCCGGTTGAACCGGGTGATGCTCCCCGAGAAGGTTTTGGACACAGGAAAGTATAAAAAAATGAACAAAGGGCAAAAACTCCAAAATTAGGCAAGGAAGAGTTATGTTTTTTTTGCACTGCACTTCTATTCAATGAGATCTATCTATCTATCTATAAAGTTTTGTGATGATATCTCTTATAGTCTCAGAGTTATGTCCAGGGCAAAATTCAAAGTGTAAAAATAAACAAAGGGCAATAACTCCAAAATTAGACAAGGCTGTGTTTAGGTTCTTTAGCATTGCAGTTCTATCCAATGAGATCTATCTACCTACAAAGTTTCATGTTGATATCTCCCATAGGTTTAGAGTAATGTCCCGAACAATAAGTCAAAATAAACAAAGGGCAATAATCAAAAATTAGGCAAGACAGAGTTACGGTTCTTGTGCACTGCACACCTACTCAATGAGATCTATCTTCCTACAAAATTTCATGTTGATACCTCTTATAGTTTTAGAGTAATGTCCCAGACAAAGTTCAAAGTGTAAAAATAAACAAAGGGCAATATTTCAAAAATAATGCATGGCAGAGTTACGGTTCTTGTGCACTGCACTCCTATTCAATGAGATCTATCTACCTACAAAGTTTCATGTTGATACCTCTTATAGTTTTAGAGTTATGTCCCAGACAAAGTTCAAAGTGTAAAAATAAACAAAGGGCAATAATTCAAAAATTAGGCAAGGCAGAGTTACGGTTCTTGTGCACTGCACACCTACTCAATGAGATCTATCTACCTACAAAGTTTCATGTTGATACCTCTTATAGTTTTAGAGTAATGTCCCAGACAAAGTTCAAAGTGTAAAAATGAACGAAGGGCAATAACTCCAAAATTAGGCAAGACAGAGTTACGGTTCTTGTGCACTGCACACCTACTCAATGAGATCTATCTACCTACAAAGTTTCATGTTGATACCTCTTATAGTTTAAGAGTTATGTCCCGGACAAAGTTCAAGTGTAACAAGAGCCATGTCAACATGGCCATCCCCCGCCGAATGTGTTTGCTCATTGGAAGAATGTATATGAAGTAGAGCAGAATAATTCCATTTTAAGAGGTCTTTTGGTAATGAAAACTGATGGCTATAGTGATTACAGATTTGAAACCTATGTGAATAGTGATGGCTGAAAATAACAAAGGGCAATAACTGAAAAATAATGCAGGGTAGGTTATCATTCTTGTGTGCTGCATCCCTCCTTAGTAAAATCTATCCACCTATGAAGTTTCAAGTTGATACCTCAAATACTTTTTGAGAAAAAAATTGAATTGAAAAATTAAGTATGAAAAATAACAAAGGGCAATAACTCAAAAATTATAAAAGGTACAGTTATCATTCTTGTGCAGTGCACACCTCCTGAGTGAGATCTATGCACCTATGAAGTTTCATTTTGATATCTCAAAGGCTTTTTGAGTTATGCTCTGGACAAAAATTAATTTTGAAAAATAACAAAGGGCAATAACTCAAAAATAATGCAGGGTAGAGTTATCATTCATTAGCACTGCACTCCTCCTCAATGAGATCCATCCACCTATGAAGTTTCAAGTTGATACCTCAAATACTTTTTGAGATAAGCTCTGGACAAAATAGCATGAAAAAAACAACAAAGGGCAATAACTCAAAAATTGTATAGGGAAGAGTTATCATTCTTGTGCACAACATTCCTCCTCAATAAGATCTATCCTTCTATGACATTTCATGTTGATATCTCAAACACTTTTTGAGTTATGCTCCACTCAGGTGAAAAATTAGGTATGAAAAATAACAAAGGGCAATTACTCAAAAATTATGAAAGGAAGAGTTATCATTCTTGTGCACTGCACACCTCCTGAGTGAGATCTATGCACCTATGAAGTTTCATGTTAATATCTCATAGGCTTTTGGAGTTATGCTCTGGACAAAAATCAATTTTGAAAAATAACAAAGGGCAATAACTCAAAAATCATGCAAGGTAGAGTTATCATTCTTGTGCACTGCACTCCTCCTCAATGAGGTCTATCCACCTATGAAGTTTCAAGTTGATAACTCAAATACTTTTAGAGATATGCTCCGGGCAAAAATTTCGGACGGAAGGACGGACGGACGGAAGGTCGGACGGACGGACGGAGACTATTTCTATATCCTCCGCCGAAAATTTTCGGCGGGGGATAAAAATGAACAAAGGACAATAACTCCAAAATTAGGCAAGGCACAGTTACAGTTCTTGTGCACTGCACACCTTCTCAATGAGATCTTTCACTTACAAAGTTTTATGTTGATACCTCTTGTTGTTTCAAAGTTATGTCATGACGGATGGACGGACGGACAAGGCGGCCACTATATGCTCCCCGGAAATTTTTCAGGGAGCATAATTACTGATACTATAAACTATGAAACTCAATAACCTGTGTCAAATACTAGAGAAAACATGACATTATGTAAATGTTGTGATGCATGTGATATATATGATAATTGACCTGTCAATGGTTTTCTATATTGATGCTTCACAATGCAATGAATCAGCCATCATAACTTCAAGTGATATTTGACAAGAAGGAGTCAGTTACTTGTGTGAAATAGGTAAGTATTGGTACAAAATTCATGAAACTCTTCACATATGTATTGTCACTATTGTATACATACACAACAAGTAATACTATTTAGATTAAACAAACGGGCAATAAAACTCTTTTCAAGAAAATTTAAGGGAAAAGTGTTTTATTGTATCAGATTTAATTAAATGCTAATGTAATTAGCAGAATAAATATGTTTATAACACTAACTGTATTTTAAATTCATTAAATGAAAAAAACTCTTATACTTTGACTGAAGTCTTCTCCCTTTACTCCAAACTCTTCCAAATGAAGGTAGCCAGTCATGTGACCTAGTGGTTGTATGATCAAAACTAGCTCCAACTCTGTTAGCAGGAAGCTTGGCCTTCTTCTCTTGCTCCACTAAAAAGAAATAAACAGTAATGATATATCACTGTCTTTATAGGTCATTTTTTACATATTATAATAACATAATTGTAATAAACTAGAACTGCCACTATCATGGCTTGAATACCCCCGCATACCACTTTGTCAGAATCAACAGTGGCCATTTAGAACTCAAGGACAACCTCCCTGCCAAATCTGAGGTTACTAAGCCAGTGCATTGCTAAGTTATGTATTCTACATGCTTCAAATGTGAAAATGTCAAAATCAATACACTCTGGACAGGCATTCTGAAGCAATTGAGGGGAAAAGCTTTATTTTGACAAGGTCCCTGTGACCTTGACCTTTGACCTGGTGACCTCAAAATCAATACGGATCATTTACTAATCATGACTAACCTTCATGCCAAATATGAAGACTGTGGGTCATAGGAATCTTAAGTTATTGGGCGGACAAGCTTTTTGAAGTCAAGGCCCCTGTGACCTTGACCTTTGACCCGGTGACCTCAAAATCAATAGGGGTCATCTACTAATCATGACTAACCTCCATGCCAAATATGAAGACTGTGGGTCAAAGGAATCTTAAGTTATTGGGCGGACAAGCTTTTTGAAGTCAAGGCCCCTGTGACCTTGACCTTTGACCCGGTGACCTCAAAATCAATAGGGGTCATCTACTAATCATGACTAACCTCCATGCCAAATATGAAGACTGTGGGTCAAAGGAATCTTAAGTTATTGGGCGGACAAGCTTTTTGAAGTCAAGGCCCCTGTGGCCTTGACCTTTGGGCTGGTGACCTCAAAATCGATAGGGGTCATCTACTAATCACGACTAACCTCCATGCAAAATATGAAGACTGTGGGTCATAGGAATCTTAAGTTATTGGGCGGACAAGCTTTTTGAAGTCAAGGCCCCTGTGACCTTGACCTTTGACCCAGTGACCTCAAAATCGATAGGGGTCATCTACTAATCACGACTAACCTCCATGCCAAATATGAAGACTGTGGGTCATATGAATCTTAAGTTATTGGGCGGACAAGCTTTTTGAAGTCAAGGCCCCTGTGACCTTGACCTTTGACCCCAAAATCAATAGGGGTCATCTACTAATCATGACTAACCTCCATGCCAAATATGAAGACTGTGGGTCAAAGGAATCTTAAGTTATTGGGCGGACAAGCTTTTTGAAGTCAAGGCCCCTGTGACCTTGACCTTTGACCTGGTGACCTCAAAATCAATAGGGGTCATCTACTAATCATGACTAACCTCCATGCCAAATATGAAGACTGTGGGTCAAAGGAATCTTAAGTTATTAGGCGGACAAGCTTTTTGAAGTCAAGGCCCCTGTGACCTTGACCTTTGACCTGGTGACCTCAAAATCAATAGGCGTCATCTACTAATCATGACTAACCTCCATGCCAAATATGAAAACTGTGGGTCAAAGGAATCTTAAGTTATTGGGCGGACAAGCTTTTAGAAGTCAAGGCCCCTGTGGCCTGGTGACCTCAAAATCAATAGGGGTCATCTACTAATCACGACTAACCTCCATGCCAAATATGAAGACTGTGGGTCAAAGGAATCTTAAGTTATTGGGCGGAAAAGCTTTAAGAAGTCAAGGCCCCTGTGGCCTTGACCTTTGGCCTGGTGACCTCAAAATCAATAGGGGTCATCTACTAATCACGACTAACCTCCATGCCAAATATGAAGACTGTGGGTCAAAGGAATCTTAAGTTATTGGGCGGACAAGCTTTTTGAAGTCAAGGCCCCTGTGACCTTGATCTTTGACCTGGTGACCTCAAAATCAATAGGGGTCATCTACTAATCATGACTAACCTCCATGCCAAATATGAAGACTGTGGGTCAAAGGAATCTTAAGTTATTGGGCGGACAAGCTTTTTGAAGTCAAGGCCCCTGTGACCTTGACCTTTGAGCTGGTGACATCAAAATCAATAGGGGTCATCTACTAATCATGACTAACCTCCATGCCAAATATGAAGACTGTGGGTCAAAGGAATCTTAAGTTATTGGGCGGACAAGAAAAAACCAACGGACGGCCGGACAGCCGGATGCCGGATGGCCGGACAACCTGATTCCAGTATACCCCCCTTTCAACTTTGTTGTGCGGGGGTATAATGTGCGGGGATATAATAACTATATCTATATCACATCTACACCATATAATGGGTCTAAACCACAGTACCTTAATTAAAAGAAAAAATACACAATTTTTTTACACAAATCTAATTATGTATTACATGTGCAATCAATATTATCTTTCCTTATGTTTCCAAGGACTACACAATTCAAATTTGTAATAACTTAATCAATATACAAAGACTGGGTTTACATATCATTACCTCCCTTTGTCTATAATTGTTTTTGCAACAAAACAAATCAAATTGTGTTGATTTATATGATTTCAGTTCACTTTTAAATTATCTCTTTCTGAATTTCACGAAAAGATATTTTTTTTTTGTAAATTTCACTTTATCTACATTAATTTATGTAAGTGCAAGTTTTCACTTTATCTATATCTATTTGAGGCAATAAAAACATGTTATCAACAACAGCACCGCTAGGCGGAGTATTATATGCCTGAAAGTGATTTTGTTTTTTAGTAAAGATGAAGCATTTGTAAGACATGGGATTAAATAAAGTATTACCTACTTCAACAAACAATCCTCCTTTGAAGTTTGAATATTGTGGGCTAAATGGAACTTAAGTTATGCTGCGGAAACTGTTTTCAGTTTTAAAGTAATAGTGACCTTGACCTTTGACCTTGTGACCCAAAATCAATAGGGGTCTTCTACCCAATATGGATAATCATACTATGAAGTTTGAACACTGTGGGCCAAATGGGACTTAAGTTATGTTTCTGAAACTGTTTTCAGTTTTAAGGTTATAGTGACCTTGATCTTTGACCCCAAAATCAATAGGGGTCTTCTACCCAATATGGACAATCATCCTATGAAGTTTGAATATTGTAGGCCAAATGGAACTGAAGTTATGCTCCAGAAACTGTTTTCAATTTCTAAGTAATAGTGACCTTGACCTTTGACCTTGTGACACCAAAATCAATAGGGGTCCTCTACCCAATATGGACAATCATCCTATTAAGTTTGAATATTGTGGGCAAAATGGAACGTAAGTTATGCTCCCAAAACCAAATTGCTAACAGACAGACGGACGCCAGGGGGTATAACATAGTAATTTATGCACGAAATTCTTTTGGGCACATAAAAATGCATGTTAAACACATATTCCATGCTTTTAAAATTCTCAGAATCCAAATTTTCACTAGAAATGTGTCCATAGGACACGGGTGCCCCCACCGCGCCACTGTTCTGTCAATCTTATGACTCTAGGTCAAATATTTTTTGAAAACTAAAAATCTTTTTACTAAGTAAAGGGCAAGAACTTTACAAATACTGAATAAATCCCCAAGCAAACCCCAAGTTGAAAATTGCAAATTTATACTACTGTAAGTCAAGGGCAATAACTCTAACAAAACTGAAAAAAATCCACATGCAAAGTCCCAGGTTCATAGCTTCACAGTGATGTGAATCATTATTCCTGTAATTTAGTGATGTTGATCATTATTCCTGTAAAGTTGGTCGATTCTAACTCAAGCACTCAAGGAACAAATAACAACATAATGAAACAGTTTTTACTAAGTCAAGGGAAATAACTCTACAAATACTGGATAAATCCACAAGCGAAACCCCAGGAGCAAAACTAAATATGCTGAGCAACCTTCCCATAAGGTTTAATGACTCTATGTCAAATCCTTTTTGAGTTACATGCGACACAAGTTGAAAATTGCAAACATTTTCTAAGTCAAGGGCAATAACTCTAAAAATACTAAATAAATCCAGACGAAAATACCCAGGTGCACAACTACACATGCTGATCAATATTCCTGTAAAGTTTCATGACTCTATGTCAAATCCTTTTTGAGTTACATGCGACACAAGTTGAAAATTGCAAAATTTTACTAAGTCAAGGGCAATAACTCTAAAAATACTAAAAATATCCAGACGAAAATACCCAGGTGCACAACTACACATGCTGATCAACATTCCTGTAAAGTTTCATGACTCTAGGTCAAATACTTTTTGAGTTACATGCGACACAAGTTGAAAATTGCAAACATTTTCTAAGTCAAGGGCAATAACTCTAAAAATACTAAATAAATCCAGACGAAAATACCCAGGTGCACAACTACACATGCTGATCAATATTCCTGTAAAGTTTCATGACTCTATGTCAAATCCTTTTTGAGTTACATGCGACACAAGTTGAAAATTGCAAAATTTTACTAAGTCAAGGGCAATAACTCTAAAAATACTAAAAAAATCCAGACGAAAATACCCAGGTGCACAACTACACATGCTGATCAACATTCCTGTAAAGTTTCATGACTCTAGGTCAAATACTTTTTGAGTTACATGCGACACAAGTTGAAAATTGCAAAATTTTACTAAGTCAAGGGCAATAACTCTAAAAATACTAAAAATATCCAGACGAAAATACCCAGGTGCACAACTACACAACTAAAGATTAACATTCCTGTAAAGTTTCATGACTCTAGGTCAAATACTTTTTGAGTTACATGCGACACAAGTTGAAAATTGCAAAATTTTACTAAGTCAAGGGCAATAACTCCAAAAAATACTAAAAATATCCAGACGAAAATACCCAGGTGCACAACTTCACATGCTGATCAACATTCCTGTAAAGTTTCATGACTCTAGGTCAAATACTTTTTGAGTTACGTGTGACACAAAAGAGAACGGACGGACGGACAAGGGTAAAACTAAATGCCCGCCACTAATGTGGGGGCACAAAAAACATAGTCAATACTTACGATGTTTCTGTATGTCTTTTATTGTTGGGCCAATAACACTGCTCTTACTACTGTCATCATCTGACTGTAACCATGGTGGTAAACCTCCAGAGTGTACATTGCCCTCTTCATTTCCATACTGGGTAGCCTAATATAACATGTACATAACAATAAAATACATGTATAACACACCTTGATTTACTATGATGGTATTTAAATCATTAGAACACTAACATCACTGCTTCAGTAGCATATTTACATATCAAATGCATACATTTGTGTTGAATAAATCAGTTATATACATACAATAGTATAATAACTAAAAGTTCACCAACCTATTACTGTGGAAACTTAAAAATTGATTAGGCAACGGTCTCATATTAAGTGCCACTGTGACTGTATGACCTCAAAATCAATGAGGATCGTCTACTGGCCAAGAGCATTGTCCATACTATGTTAAACAAACTTATATAAGTTTTTTCTTTCTCAAGTTAGTGATTGGATAAAGATTTTACAATGTCACTGTGACCTTGACCTTCAACCTTATGATCTCAGAAGCAATACATCTACTGACCATGCACTACGTCCCTACTAAGTTTAACAAACTATTATGATAAACAAACCCTTATTCTTCTCAAATTATTTATGCGACAAGTATTTAACATAAAGTGACACTGTTACCTTTGATCTATGACCTCAAAATCAATATAGGTCACCCAATGGCTATGGAAACTGTCTCTACTTAATTAAAGACATTAGGGGTCAGTTTTTCTCAAGTTACTTATTGGCCTACAATGGGATTTTTGAAATCCATAAGATCATGTTTTCACATAAAAGCATCTGTTGGAAACATATATTATATCAATCATTCATATTTAATAATATATTTTGTGTAAATAGTTGTTCCCTTGAAGGTTATTTATGTAAACTATTGCTCTTCATAAAACTTATTCTAAATAAATGTCTTACAGGTTTAATATATGCCAGACCCTCTGCTTTTGCTGAATAAGTCATCTTCCTACCAGACACAGTATTTTGTGAGTGGTACCTAGCTTCCTGTTGGGCACTAATTCCGTCCCTTCTTGCAAGACTTGTTCCACTTCCTGTCTGACTGATTCCACTTCCTGTCTGATTGGTTCTACTGAGTGCATTTCCTGGTAAATCTTCTAGACTGGTTGCTTTAATTGCTGAGTCTGACTACATTCAGGAAATTATAGTTGAAACGGTAAAAGTATCAAGGGACAAACGTAACCCTTGAAATAGTCATTGTTTCAATGAAAAAGCCAGGGGACCAAAGTTTGGTACACATATTTTACCAGATGCTTTATTAAAATAATGGATTATTTTTATGTCCAATATCAAATATTTTCCTTAAGATTTACACTACTACAGAAAAATACACACTGAACCCGACATGAATCAAAGTCACACATATTATAAACATTAACAGATTCTTCTTTATATGTTGGTTATTGTATCATAGATTTCTTATAAGCATAACAAATTAGCAATACAATTACAATACTACAGTATCCTCTAAAAATACCTACCATATTGATATCAAATTGAATTTGAAATTATCAATATATGTTCAAAAGTAAGGTAACTCATCAATTGTATTTATTGTATAGAGTTTATGATTATCTAGAACTATTTTTAGTTAATTTTATAATTTATTATAACAGAATCAGGAAAATGATGTGTACTTAGTGTAAGGTCAACTGGCTTTTTCAACTGATACATAGTTTTAAGTCCCCTTCAACCATACACAGAAGTAAAAATTCAAAAACACGCAGACTTCAAGGTATACGACTATGATTATATAGTGTCATTAAAAAAACTGGCAGTTCTTTAAGGAATGACCAGCTTTATTTGACCCGTACTAAGGAGCACAGATTCCCATATATAGTTTGTAAGGTTTTTTTTTATTATATCTAAATAAGACATATTCAGTAAGAATTTTATAGATTTCAATAAATTTCTGCAATAAAATTATTTTACTGAAAAATGAGCATAGTATATCTCTACTTTGATTTACTTTGTTTTGGTTTTTTTGTGTGTTTTTTTTCACTGAAAGTACCGTAAATGAGATGCAAAGGTAAAATATCAATGCAGTGATTACACGTAAAATATCGATGAATAAAGTGGATACAGTCTGTTAGGTGAAGGACTATTTCAAACATCAATTACCAATCTATTCATCCCTTGCAATGATATTTTCTCTGCCACCTGAAATGAAGAGTAACCACATTGACAGTAAAAACATCTTTTCTTTTTAAAATTTATATCCCAACACAATATTGATCAGTTGTGTTATATATTTTTTCAACATATTGACCATGGTTTAACAACAAGAGATGTCAGATGGACACTTGACTGTGAAGTTGACCATTTTTCATCCTTGCATGGCTTTTTTCCTTCTATAGCAGGAGCTGTTTAAGGGCGACTTCCCCAAAAGAAATATTTTTTAAAAGCATAAAGATTTCCCCAAAAATTTGAATTAACATCAAGTTTTTTCCTCCCCTATGTCAAATATACTATATAATTTCCCCCAAAATTAAGGGCAGGGCTGCTTCCCCAACTGGTGAAAAAAGCACTGCCTTGATATGTAATAAAAGTGCCATGATGTAAGCTATCAAAACAAGCTTATGAAAAATAGGTGAATATACTCAATTAATTTCTTACTAGTGCTTGAAATGTTGCTCATAGCAGCACCTATCCAAGGCGCAAATTTACTATTGGATTTTTTAGTGTTGCTGCAACTTAAATCCCAACTAAACAAACATTCATGTATTTAATTATATTATTATTATTATTATTATTATAAATTAATATATTATAATCATATGTCACTGTCAAAACAATAACTCCACTTTCTGTTCCAGGTGGAGCTAATAAAAGTATATCTTATGTTACCATTACAACTGACACATTATTTAGTAATGAACATGTAACTGTTACCTTTTTTCTAGCTAACTCTTGCAACTTCTGCCTCTTTTTAACAGCTAGAAATGCTGCTTTCTTAAATCTGAAAGTAATTAGTAAGCAAGAGAACATGTATGCTATCTAGTACAAACATCATGCTGTTTAGTATTGATATAAATTCATAATTCATGTTAGTTTAAATTAATTCTGTGACAATTTCCATTTTCAGCTTTAACGAATTTAACGATGCTTTTGCCAATGACAATTGCCACTACAAACTCCTGTCTTTTTATGCTAGATATAATCCTGTGTAAACTTTAAGCAATACAAACTTAAATGTCATGACTCTATGTGTTTTATTTCTTCAATCTGAATAATACATCAAAGGTTGGCCAATATTGTGACTTGCTTATGAATAAATTACGTCTTACATGTATAAATCTTCAGCTGACAAAACAAACAACGGCTTTAACTCTTTCTTCATCAAATTGTCCCAGAAAAACTGCTCCATGCCTGCTTTATGATCTTTACTGGAAAATATATTTATACATTTATACGTTAAAACTGTCTATATCTGTTATTCAGGAAAGGTCTAAATTTATAGAATCTGTTAAGCGATTATTCAGGACTTTCTTTCACCTTCAAATGTATATATTGAATTTTTAGAGTACTGCAAGATTTGTTTATTCTCTCTTAACATAACTTGTTGTTTGAAACATATTTTACCCATGCAACCATTACTGCAGATGAAGATCAAGGTCTGCAATGTTTGAATGATATTCAGATAGTTCAATGAATACATGTATTTTAATTTTTTTTTAACAAAAAATGTTGAATGGTTTTGGCCATACTAAAAATTGGACAAGTCATTTATCTGATTATCATATTTTTTATTCAAGGTTAATTTGTAGTTTGATAAATGCTGTACTACACATAACTATATTACAGTCCAGACCGTCATATGTGACTTTCCAAGGGATCTTTAGAAAAAGGTCACATATGACAGGGAGTCTCTTAATACAGTCTCATAGAAAATTAAAATTTAAATACCATCTATCTGTCTATATATCATTGTGACTTAACATATATACTGTATAACTGTGTCTAACCAATTGCAAATACACATAGGTACTTTAAATATTTGATGTAAATAAAATAAGAATCCCTTTCAAGCAAATATAAATTAATCGCATGTATATCATATAAAATTTAATTTAATGTTTTGCATTAGATTTATATTGAATCATTATTGTACAAAATAAACTTAAATTTGATGCATTCAAATCCTTATAATTAATATCATACTTTTAAAAAACATAATTATCCATATCCAAAGGTTTTTCTAGTCTGGTATCAACATTTTTCGTATTATTCATGCAGACATTATCCAGTTTACTCAGTTCATTATGTTAATTACACCTGTGACCTCAATTTTTTAACACACATCAATTGCATCATGCTTACCATATTTGGCAGTACTACTCCAGACACTACGTCACTTGATACCTGTATACATGTTATCCGTGTAAATAAGTTAGAGGTGTGTAGAGTTTGTTTGAGAGTACTGACTACTGGATTATAATTGGACTTAAATATTTTGTCTCTCTGGGTGTTAAAAGAGGTATTATTTATCTGATTAACGGACAATTAAAAGGTGTGAAAGTTGTTTAAATTAGACAAAGCAATGCGTTGGGATCAGACAATTAGGGTCGCTTGTCACATATGACAGGGAGTCGTATAATTCAGACCATTTATATAGGAAAATACGTTGGGAGGACTGAAACAAGGTCGGATAAGATAGGGAGTCGCTGAAATCAGGGGGTCGCTAAGGCAGTCTCGGCTGTATATACAAATTACTGAAAACTTTCAGTTCTGATCTGATTTGTGTAGATTCTACTTTAATAAAAACTCATCTCTATAACAGAGAAATACCAATTTAAACTAGAAAGAATTGTACATATGAGCCGCGTCACAACAAAACCAACATAGTGGGTTTGCGATCAGCATGGATCCAGACCACCCTGCGCATCCCCGCAGTCTGATCAAAATCTATGCTGTTCGCTTACCAACTCTATTACAAGTGGAGAAACTGACAGCGAACAGCATGGATCCTAATCAGACTGCGTGTATGCGCAGGCTGGTCTGGATCCATGCTGGTCGCAAACCCACTATGTTGGTTTTGTTGTGAAGCGGCTCAATTATTATTATTATTCATATATACATACCTTGAAATATGTTCTAACAATCCTGCCCCGACAACTGTACAATTCTCTACAATTTCATGTTTAGCAAACTGTTCCTCGCAGAAGTAGCACCAGAACTTGGCATCAGTTTCAAACATCATATCTTGTACAGTTGGATTAAATAAATTTCTTTTAACTTGTTGTATCTGTAAACAATAAATAAAACTTAATAAATGCTAGAATGTGTCAAGTGCAGGTTATCATTCCCCTCCTCAGTAAAATCTATCCACCTATGAAGTTTCAAGTTGATACCTCAAATACTTTTGAGATAAGCTCCGGAAAAAGAACAAAGGGCAATAACTCAAAAATTATATAGGAAGAGTTATCATTCTTGCGCACAGCATTCCTCCTCAATCAGATCTATCCACCTATGACATGTCATGTTGACATCTCAAACACTTTTGAGTTATGTTCCACTCAGGTGAAAAGTTAAGTATGAAAAATAACAAAGGGCAAAACTCAAAATTTATGAAAGGTAGAGTTATCATTCTTGTGCACTGCACTCCTCCTGAGTGAGATCTATGCACCTATGAAGTTTCATGTTGATATCTCAAAGGCTTTTTGAGTTATGCTCTGGACAAAAATTAATTTTGAAAAATAACAAAGGGCAATAACTCAAAAATTATGCAGGATAGAGTTATCATTCTTGTGCACTGCACTCCTCCTCAATGAGATCCATCCACCTATGAAGTTTCAAGTTGATACCTCAAATACTTTTGAGATAAGCTCCAGACAATATAGTATGAAAAAGAACAAAGGACAATAACTCAAAAATTGTATAGGGAAGAGTTATCATTTTTGTGCACAACATTCCTCCTCAAAAAGATCTAACCACCTATGACATTTCATGTTGACATCTCAAACACTTTTGAGTTATGCTCCACTCAGGTGAAAAATTAAGTATGAAAAATAACAAAGGGCAAAACAAAAACTCAAAAATTATGAAAGGTAGAGTTATCATTCTTGCGCACTGCACACCTCCTGAGTGAGATCTATGCACCTATGAAGTTTCATGTTGATATCTCAAAGGCTTTTTGAGTTATGCTCTGGACAAAAATTAATTTTGAAAAATAACAAAGGGCAATAACTCAAAAATTATGCAGGGTAGAGTTATCATTCTTGTGCTCAATGAGATCCATCCACCTATGAAGTTTCAAGTTGATACCTCAAATACTTTTTGAGATAAGCTCCGGACAAATTAGTATGAAAAAGAACAAAGGGCAATAACTCAAAAATTATATAGCAAAAAGTTATCATTCTTGCGCACAGCATTCCCCCTCAATAAGATCTATCCACCTATGACATTTCATGTTGACATCTCAAACACTTTTGAGTTATGTTCCACTCAGGTGAAAAAATAAGTATGAAAAATAACAAAGGGCAATAATTCAAAAGTTATGAAAGGTAGAGTTATCATTCTTTTGCACTGCACACCTCCTGAGTGAGATCTATGCACCTATGAAGTTTCATGTTGATATCTCAAAGGCTTTTTGAGTGATGCTCTGGACAAAAATTAATTTTGAAAAATAACAACTTAAATAGGGCAATAACTTAAAAATTATGCAGGGTAGAGTTCAGGGTTCTCACTAGGACTTTAAAACATGGAGTCCATGGACTCCCAACCCTGAAAAAGTTGGAGTCCAAAAGCGCGTCGCAATTAATATGTTTACAGATTAATTAGTCATTCAATGTTTACAATAGCATTGCTGATATTTTGAATGTTCAAGAGACTTCCAAAGTAAATAGTTATTCAAAAGAAACTCTGAACTACATAGTATAATTATTGTTTTGTTAATATTTATTATGAAATTATTTCATTATAATGCATCAACCCATGGAAATCTTTTTTTTTTTTCACTTTTATACTAAATCAAATTTTTCTCTGGTTAAATAAGTCCACTCTTAAGACAAAAAGTTTGTATTTGTTAAAAAAAACGTAAATGTATATAGGCAGCATTTAGCGGAATGAATAGGAAAAACGTGTACAGATTCACACAGTGTGTAAGAGATTCATCCGATTGACGATTATTTTAGCAAATATCTTCAAAAGGGGGCAAATTAAAGATCGACATTTAAAGATTTAATGTTGATTAAATAATAAAGAAACAATTCATTCGCATGTTTGGCTTGGAAACCGAGAATTTTTGCGAAATTTTAGGGTTTCTGGCGAATGTGAAATCGCCGATGTTCGGGATCAATTTTCGGATAGAGAAAAGCGTATGTGTACCTGGCATTTCGGCACAATATCTTAAATTCTTAATACTCTTATAGAAAGTTTTTGCAAGAATGAAACTAAAGCAAAATTGTGCCTAGAAATGCCGAAAATATTCGACAATCATTATAATGCCGAAAATATTCGACAATCATTCAAAATTACACTCAATTGTAATTTGAGAAAACAGTCTTTAAACTTGCGGCGTAAATAGTCGATAATTTTATCCTTTTGTCGGTAAAATTTGCTAATTTCCAATCAACTGTTGATCAAAGATATAAAATTATTACCTCGTGATATATCTGGTAATTACATGTACTGTACAGAGCGTGTATACATTAGTCTGATCACTATTGCGTGATTATGATCGGAAGCGTTATCGCTGATTGGCTAATTGCTTCACGGGTCAATGTGCATAGGACCGCCTACCTATAGACTGACACGCGCTGACGCATTTGTGTATTTGTGGTTGTAAACAATCGGGAATGTTTATGCGTCCCCGGGCAAAATTAAGCGTACGTGGAATCCTTGCTCTGAAATATTTGCGTCCAGCTGCAATAAACATGCGTACCGGGACGCCGAAATAAGCGTCCCCGAGAACCCTGGAGTTATCATTCTTGTGCACTGCACTCCTCCTCAATGAGGTCTATCCACCTATGAAGTTTCAAGTTGATACCTCAAATACTTTTTAAGATATGCTCCGGACAAAAATGTTGGGCGGAAGGACAGACGGAGACTATTTCTATATCCTCCGCCACCTTTTTGGCAGGGGATAATAAACATTCAAGTTTTCAGTTGTGTTTTATTGTATTTTAATGTTTCTTAACAACTGCAACCTAATATGTTTTTAACAATGTCACAGTGGTGTGTGTTTTTCTTTTTGCATATATTTTGAGCACTAAGGACTTTAGGCAAATTATAGAATATGTGCTCAAAAACCTTTTATTTCTTTGTGATGAATTACATGTACCTTTGTATTTCTTTGGTAAGTACAATGTACAATTATATTTCAGTAGAGGAATTTGAACTTTATTAATTTAAAATGAAACGTATTTTTTCTTCATATTATGATTTATAATGTTAAAATAATAAAACATGCAAAAAATCGTTAAATTCGAACCACAATTTCGGCACATTTTGAAATAAAAAACTTGTAAATATTATTATATCCTTTGCACTTTCAGTAAAAGTCCTATCAGTGGTAGAACGAAGATACCGGATAGGACTGATATTTTTGCAAATTTGTTGTTTTGGTATTTACTCATACCGCCGAGTTTGTAAAGGGCCGAGATGACTCGGGGCCGAGTTTGTTGTTTGTTTTTAGAAAATATGATTTATAAGTACTGGTACCTTTGAAGAAAACTTTTTTGTTATAGTATTTAGTATAAGTTGATGACGCTTTGAATATATATGTTTCTTTCCACGTTTATGGCTGAATTTACATAGAGAACAGTAAATAAATTGGCGAAATGAAGTAGACTCTTCTTTAGTAGCCATCTTGTCACGTGTAATATCTGTCAAAGTAGTCAAAGTACCGTCCTTTGAACCGGACAGGTATAAAATCCGGCGCCTTCTCAATAAAACTGAAGGAAACTTACTTTATTTATTGAATGAATGAACGTTTACTTCATAAGCTTTATAGAAATAAATTAAGTAAAAGAATTAACAATTTTGTTTCCAACCTACATGTTCAAAAGTGAAATTTGAAATTTTTGAAACATATGAAGACAGCTGTGTATTGATAAATTACACGGATTTATATTACAATATAAATGTAATATAAATCCGTGATAATTAAAATGAAAATAATAACAACAGTCAATTTTGTCATTATAATAATTGCTAATGATGATAAAAATCATTTTTAATTTATTACTTTTATCATAATTATTAATATTATACATGTACAGAGCCCTCATTGATATTTTACAACATTTTTATACGGACTAAAAGCAAAAGTAACGCATTGAAAAAGTCATCGACATAATTCTGATTTATATATAAACATATAATTCATTCTATACCATCATTATTTTAAGGTTTTGTGCACGGTATATGTTTTAAATCAAAACGTTCTCTGAGACAAGTAGCATATTAATTAAGATCTAGTTTAGCTCCTGTTTTAAAAGTGTCATCCCCTAGTCCATGAATCCCTAGAGTGACTATGCATCTCACTTGTCTTCATCCCCGCGATATGTTTTAAATTTTAGGTGCTAGCTTACACATGACATAAGCCAGAGACTAAGTGGGGTTCTTCTAAAGCTCTGCTCTAAAATAGAATGCAACATTTATCTTATAGTATTAACTTGGTCTAGATTGAAACAATATCCGCGAACATCATGATGTGTACATGTCTAGCTTAACAGCAGTACTGTCATGAATATTTCATACTGTATCAATATGATAAAATTGAGACCGAATAAAATCCTCTTGACCAAAAGCGCCTTAAGTAGCTGATTCACAGAAAAATCAAAAACTCAAAAAAAAATTAAATAAAAAAAAAAAAAATAAAAAAAAATACTAATAAGCCAATCTATCGACAAGCTGGCAAAAAAAAAACAACAACACAAATATGATTATATATCTCAAATGTCATTTCTGGGACTTATGTTACAGGTGATTTCAATCAAGATATACCAAATGAATGTCTGAATTGTTAATAAACTTTGCGAAATTTTCATAAACAAGAAAAATATTACATACATTTGTATGTAATATAGGTACGATTGCATACTACATTTTGTGAAGACTTTTTATGCTTGCTTCATTACAGGTGTAATGTAAAATGAACAAACATGTCATGAGATATTTTATATCTTTAAACATTTTCATGGAATGTAATTAATGTATCATCATATTAAAGTTGCATGCCTTCAGATGAGAAAAATGATTTCAAGGAAATCAAAATATGAAAAGAAAATTCACGGTCAATTGACTGCTTTGAAGCATAATCACAGAATAAAATTACAGGAAATTAAAGACCTTTTTAAAACACTAAAGGTAGAATTTCATTGTAAGTCATAGTCGCAGATTTGAGATATGATTATTTATTCATATAAACATCATTATTGGTTATATATTGATAAAAAAAACCCGAAAGACACAGTTTGTAAATATTTATTACAATAAAATATGAAAAAGGTATTTCCCATCCTATGCGACGCGCCGAGGTTAGCGTGTTCATTAAAATTATTCCGTTAATAGACATATAACAATCTTATTTACAAATGAATTGAATTTAATTGAAAAAAAAATGATAAAACAACAATCCCAGAAGCATTTAAGATAATAACAATCATTGAAAAAAAATGCATATAAATTGTAAATTTGTGTATGACAACTCACCCCCTAAACAAAACATAATAGACTCAACCAAAACAAGCGTCTGCTTCTTAACCTAACTATGTAGTTGCATGACCATGATTAGAAATAGCAAACCAAATGTAAGAGGTAAACCTATTGTAAAAATAATACTATGACCACAGCAGATTTCGTACAGAAAAATATATGATAAATACCCGTACCGGTTCTCAAACAGTAAGACGCTTAATAACTTGTTAATACATGTATATAGCCATGTACGTGTAGCAACATGGGTGCTACTGACTAAACTTAAAATTGTAGAATGGTAACCTTATTGTGTATACACAGTGCTATTGAAACGGTCTCAATTATCCTAGACAGCACACCCTACGTCTATATGTTTTTAAGATCTACTATGCGCACCAACTTATACAGTAAATAATCTTTTTGTTTGTACATATGTTTGGTTTATTTCCCTTAGTCACCGGACTGAACCGTACGAGCGAGCATAAACTTCTATTCGGCAGTGGTCGTTAAGATATTAGCTTCGGAAATCAAAACCGGTTCGCACCGCTTCATTGAAATACCAGCACGTTATGGTTCCAGCTAGTCAAGCTTGTTCCCAAACCCTCAAACTGTTTTTTTTTACAAAACTTTTTTTGTTGTTGTTCTATTCAAAACGATAAAACATAATAAAGTTAAAGTCAAAGTAAATTACTACAATTTAAGAAATTTTAGTGTACTAAAATATAAAACGATCTTATAACGAAAGTCCACCATGGAAAGGAATTTACGTTATTATTTTGCTTGTGTTCCAAACCATTTATTGTGATGTAAAATGATACATGTTTGTAAATTTTCTAAACAAAGAAATTTTAAATTCAATAACACTTTCTGAAATGATTTATGAGAAACATTTTAAATTAGATTTATACATAAACGTTAAATGTCATTACATATTCCTTTAAGGACACTTTACCTGGTCTTTTAAGGGCACTAATATTTAAAGCTATATTTTTGTATGTGCCTGCATTTTCAGTGCGACAAACTGATACATGATTGTACTTGTTGTGTATCAATGTTTCAAATATTTTATGAAGAATATTTGTATGCAGTGACATAAAGGTGACGTGCACAATTCTTTTCTTTTTTAAATTGCATTTCTCTCTTCTTCTTTTTTTATCTCGTTTCCACAAGTTTCTTATTCGAGGGAACGATTATACATGTAAAAAGAAAATAATTGTGCATGATAGCTAAGCCCAGGGAACGAGATACTATTCATTTGGCACGACTTAATATCTATGGAGGGCGTTCGTTGCCAAATTTCCAGAAAGTGTTCCTTTGAAAATGCGAACTTGTATGCCTACCATTTTTATTGTATCCGTGCATAGCACATACTATGCCTTTTAATTGAAGGTTCCCGCCTTTATATAACAAGTTTACATATACATCAACTTATATGGAAAACAACAATAAATTTAAAAGTTCGCATCTTCCATTGCATACAATACATATGCAAGTTTGCACATCTATAGATAGAAATATACAAATGAAATGTAAAACTCGAATATAGAAAATAGAGTTTAAGAAATCTCTTTTCCACGACATAGGTAACTCGTTCCCAAAACAGTATGTTCATCGAAATTGAACTCCTGATCGATCTTGCCGAAAATTTTCCTATGTCGGTTTAAAAGCTAACGACAATGAGTATACTGAGCTCATCTTTGTTCACGCAACTTAAAGCTGCATGCCTCCAGATGAGCCAACGTTATTCAAGAAAATCAAACTTGTGGAATATGAATAAAGCCTTTAAGAAATGTAAAAATATTCAAGATTCAGTTAAAAATTTGCATATTATATGCGATTAATGACTGAATTTGCATTATATATTACCATACATCTACTAGGTTACTAACGCAGTAAGGGCTATTTTTGCATGTTTTGACCTCTTTCCGGTACTTTACGTAGATTTTCAGTACCGTTTGCAATGTGTAAGTTACTTTCTTTCTTCCCTTTACAATGTTTTACCTGTAAATAATTTTTTTTTAAACTTGCATAAAAATTAGCATAAATATGGAGGCGTGCTGCTTTAACGATTTAGAACGGATCCTGATACTCTATGGATGTATCCCCATGCTAAATATTACGTTTATATTCCTTCTTAGATACCGTGCACATTAAAAGATCTAATAATCTTTACATAAAAAAGATATCTTTAAAATCCACGTCAGATTTGATTATTTTCTGATTAAAAGTTGTACACGTATAAGAATCGCACAAAACTTATATTATTATATTTATAGGCGTGACCGACCGAAAATCATTACGAAGTTAACTGTTGATAAGAAGACTAATACGATGTACGATATAATTAGAGTCTATATTTGGAAGCTAAATATATACCAGTCGAAAATGCTCGTAAACACTTCTGAAAAAAAATACTCATTGGAAAAAAAAAGAAAAGTGATTAAAAAAAAACTCTATTTTTGATCCAGTCACCGAATAATAATAGTACATGCCCTGTTTACGGTAACTTAAATCAAAATCGAGTCCGTATTTCATACCATTACTTTCTTGTTTCTTTTTTTTCCATATTTTAGAACAGTAATTGTCTCTTGACGACTGAGATGGACAGTACAAATATGTATAGGGTTGTACCCTTGGGTACCGCGGTACACATATTTCTATAAATTTATTAGTTTAAACTTATTTATTTATGCTCGATTGCGAAACAAGTTCTTGCAACTTATATTAAACACTTTCGAGTTCGCCACCTGGAATCAACCAGTACTGGCGTCATATGAAGAGATAATTATGATCGTTACCCAATTAGGGCTCGAACCCATGATCCATTGGTTGAGAGGCAGTCACCTTAACCACTAGGCCACTGCTCCCATTAAAATAGGTAAAATGTAAATTTCTTTCAAATATATAATGCAAAGAACCTTCTTTCACTGGCTTATATAAGTTTAATCTTTATTTCTGACTGCATCTGTCTATCAAATGATCAAAGAAATAACGTTTTGGTCAATCTGTCATGTTTATAGGTTGCGCTACGTATACATGTACAAATTAGCATGAATTACCGCGAGATCGTCGGGGGACGCGGAAGCCGCTTGCGGAACTATAACTTGAAATAAATTCACATTACATTTGTATATTTGTTTTATTAGTAAAACGAATGAAAGTCAACCAAACATTGCAATAATAATGTGAAAACAGCAACAAAAACAACACAACAACAGTTTTTATATGACGTATACCATATGAAACTTATGCAAAGTGATCAAAAAATGTATATAGAAAAGTTTGAAATCGATACATAATTTTGGTAACACACATGTTTAAACCCTGTATGACTATTGACACTATTCCAGGATATGTATACATAATCTGCCAAAGTTTAGCTTGGACATTTTCGCACTTAAAGCGTGGGATTCTATGTATGAACTTTACATAATATACTAGTTCGTTTTGAGTCACATCCAAAAAATTCGCCGAGAATTCAACACAAGTCTAAATAAAAGTCAGTAATCACCAAAAGGTGGCATAACTAAACAATATTTACATTTTCATCAGGAACCAGCCGGTATGAAATAAAAAACATTGTCATATTTTTAGCACTTCAGCAAAACACTTGATTTTAGTACAACGTCAGTAATTTCGCTGCAAATATCACAGCATATTTATTTTTTTATAACTATCCGTATTTTACAGATATGTGACGCATTCCAACTTTGGATCAACAATTTCATCTTCGTACGGAGGAGGCAGCATATACTGCTCATCCTGATCTTGTCCAATGAAATGTTTCTTTTCACGTGCGTTTGTCTCGTGAATGTAATCACTTTGCGTAATTTCCCGTCCTTGTGTATTTGTGAAATATGGCGGCGGCGCCGGGGTGGATGCATATACTGCGTACCTCATTTGTTTAACGATCCATAATAACTGCTTACCAAACATCTCATCCCTAAGAACGGGATCATCACTGTTATAATATGGGTTAAAGTTCATACTCTGCTTGATAACTTCTTCTCGCCAGTCCAAACAAAACTCGTATCCATTTTCAGTTTGCCATTGAGTGTTGTTGCGTTGTTGTTGGTAACCGGCTTGTTGAAACTGTGGTCTCGTGATATGCTGGGAACCATCATGATGATGATGAAGTGAATTTGTTAGCACCTGGTTTTCGTCTTCCTCCGATTCTTCGGGAATCTGTGAAAGGTGTGGCTTTCTGTCATTGACCGTGTACGGGGGCGGTGCAAATGAAGGCGATGGGGGAAGAGGTGGAGCCGACGGGTACCTTTCTCCCATAACAATATATTCGCCCCAACCTCTTAAATCAACACCATCACCCAGTCTTGGCCAGTTTTTACAAATTCGATTACACTGGTGCAGCTTAAAGAACTCTTTAATACCTCTTTGGCCGGAATCTGAACTCCCGTACACCATATCTTCGGAATGAATAACTGGACCAGTAAAATGATAAGCATTTGAAGTCTTTATCCCTTGCAGATTTGAAACCAATATTCTTCCCTCACTTTGACACCAGGTGAAGTGAGAGAACGCTTCCGCATCAACTAGTTCTTCACGCGGAACCCATCCGAACTCAAATTCCTCAAAATGTCCACGTAAGTATAACTCTATTGACACAAACTCAGAATCTTTCCATTTCTTTTTAGGCTTCCCGAGAATGTCGTTGATACACAGACAGTCGGACATCGTGTCTATTTCAGCCATTATTGGACAGTTAAAGGTTATCTTTTTCTGACCGCGAGTAGTAACTTTATTATAGGAAATTGCAAGATCCCTCGCTGCCTTTGATCGATTAGATTCCAGCATCCAATCGTTTCGACTTATTGCCCCGTTCCGCACGGTTTTCACTACACATTTCTGGCCTTTTAGTGGTCCATCACCGTTTAGAATACCCATGTACACAAGTTTCTTGCTTCCAACTTTGAAAGGGTACGGATCAAAACTCGTCCAGTATTTGTTTCCATCTGGATCTGTTGTAGATGTAAACGTTTCTACGCTTACTTGTTGACCCATAATGCAGTCGCAATATATCGTCTACACGAGCACTACCTGCAATAAAAAGTAAAATATGATTATATAAAATGTAAGAATGATAATTAAAATTAATGTTCGTTTAATTTTTTTATCAAATAAAAATCATGCTATTTTTGATGATCAGATATGTTTTATCTATTTTACAATAGTCAGTACTCTTTCGCTTCTACAGTTAGTGCGCCATTCGGACAAGTGCAGAAACTAGTATCATGTATAAATGCTATCCAGAAATATTATGCAAACATAAGCACGTATCATTGGATTAAGCTAACTATTTCACACGCGATTTAACATTGCTTTCTCTTTCTAGTTGCTTCTTAACCTCTAAATACCAATCCTTTACGGTCACTATTGCCACTAAATCTAACAAACTACTGACTGTAAATCAAACATGATATAATAATATTTTAAAATCGTATTATAAATCAATTATGGTAGTGAACTCGCGTGTCCTAATATTAATACGATCCGAGTTAAAAGACACGATTTTTTAGATTAATTTGAAACGAACGATTTAAAGACCAAACTGATAAACGATTTAACCGTGTTTTTTCAGTATTTATTTATTTATTTATTTAGTTATTTATATATATATATATTTTTATTTATTGGCAATTTTTCTTTTGCTAGTGATAAATCAGTATAAAATAATTACAACTATTTTCATTTTCCATCTTTAATAAGAAAATAATAAATAAGAAGAAAAATCTTACCATATTCAATATAATTCTTTTTGTTATTGTTTCACAGGTTTTCGAATGACTTTTTCAAATCAGACTATTTTCCATCGACACTGTTTTAAAGTCTATGTGCTAGCTAATTGTCCACAATGGCAAAATGACATAAAGTCGTCGGTAGTTATTACAATCAGATAAAATTATTTCATTAAGTAAAACAATATATTAGTAATACTTTATGACAAACAGTTTATCTTTATCACTATTACAGATGAAGCTAAGATATGACTTAGTGTAAAACCTTAACAATTTATACGATCTTATCCAGCTTTAAAACGGTTATGTTGCAAATATACTGCCAAACATGTTTCAAAAAGTTTTGTTTCGAAAACAATCGAAAAATAGCAACAATGTCAAAATAAGAACTACTTAAATGCTCATTATACTTAGTGCAAATCGCCGGTAAATTAATTATAAATAAGTTGTCGGTGCTCTTTATTCAAATATGTAGCCAACCGACGGACAAATATTTATAATTTTGGAAGCAAGTCAATAAACAAATGCATAATAAAAACGATAAGCTGAAAGTCACACCGCTTTACCATGAATTACTTATTAAAAACATGTTAAGGTCAAGTTAAGGAATTTTCTATTTCGGTACAGAGACAAGTTACATTTGCCTTAAATTACGGCCACCGCGTTTTCTCTGCGAACGAAATGCACAAAGCACGACAGTACGATGATGAAAGTGCGACAGTACGATGGCACAGTGCGTGAGTACGATAGTGACAATACGACATTACGATGGACTGTCACCATCGTAATGTCGAGCTTCGCCATCGTACGGTCGTACCGTCACCAACTTACAGTCATTCAGTCACCATCGTAATGTCGTACTGTCACCATCGTACTGTCGCACTTCGTCATCGTGCTGTCGTACCGTCACCATTGTACTTTCGTACTGTCAACATCGTACTGTCGCACTTCGTCATCGTACTGTCGTACCGTCACCATTGTACTATCGTACTGTCAACATCGTACTGTCGCACTTCGTCATCGTACTGTCGTACCGTCACCATCGTACTGTCGTACTGTCACTTTCGTACTGTCGCATTTCGTCATCGCACTGTCGTACAGTCACCATCGCAGAGAATACGCGCTGGCCCTAACGGAACACCGTAGCCTTTACACATTCCATATTTGACGTGCTTTTTTCATTTTATGTGTCTTGTCCTGTGTAGTTTAGAAACTTTGGCTTGCATTTTGGTTCACGCTTTGGTTGTCTAATGAACTTTGCCACCATTGGAATGCCGACAGCCGCACTTTGTGACGAAATAGTGAAGATAACAGTTTTGCTAACGTGTTATAATTTGGTTCACAGTTAGTCATCTGTAATACAAGAGACTAAAATAAAGTCAATATGAAGATTGACTGACTGACTGACTGACTGACTGACTGACTGACTGACTGACTGACTGTGACTGACTGACTGACTGACTGACTCACTCACTCACTCACTCACTCACTCACTCACTCACTCACTCACTCACTCACTCACTCACTCACTCACTCACTCACTCACTCACCCACCCACCCACCCACCCACCCACCCACCCACTCACTCACTCACTCACTCACTCACTCACTCACTCACTCACTCACTCACTCACTCACTCACTCACTCACTCACTCACTCACTCACTCACTCACTCACTCACTCACTCACTCACTCACTCACTCACTCACTCACTCACTCACTCACTCACTCACTCACTCACTCACTCACTCACTCACTCACTCACTCACTCACTCACTCACTCACTCACTCACTCACTCACTCACTCACTCACTCACTCACTCACTCACTCACTCACTCACTCACTCACTCACTCACTCACTCACTCACTCACTCACTCACTCACTCACTCACTCACTCACTACTAGCTAGCTAACTAACTAACTAACTAACTAACTAACAGCCAACCTACCAATTAACTAAGATTCAAGTGTAAAGAAATGTTAGTCAGAGTTTTTGAGCAATACGTGCGCACGTGCATTTTTTTCCTAAGGCTAAACTTAATGGAAAAACACGAAATGTCCTTAGAATGAATTATATTGTAAATATACCTTTATTACCTTTCTTGCACTTATGTTAGTGCAAAAATGTTTATATTAAATGACCATTACTATGAACTTATTAAAACATAAGAACTTAATACATTTATTAAATTGAAAACTTCATGTCCCTCAAATAAACTGATTTAGGGATTATACTCGTGGCATTTACAGACAGAATGTAGATCCTAATTACATTAAACAATATTTGCATACTTTTATAATTACATTTCATCTATTTGTTGAAGTTTGAATTGTGTGCTATATATTTTTCTTTTACATTTAGATATATTTACAAAATGTTACACATACTCTCTTGATAAGCCAACTGCTATTCACGTAAAAGCCAAAACGTTAACGCATGTTTTATGTTACATTTATCTTTAATGTCTTTTGCCATCTCGACAGGTCCGTTTTCAACTTACGTATTGCTTCGTTATGATTTTGGCCTTTTTTGTCCTCATAACCAAGTGTTGTAAGGTTGCACTAAGTTTCCCCACAGTTTACATCCTTGACGGAGCTTTGGGGCGAAGAAGTGTGGCTCCCCGCCTGGTTCACATTCTACCAAGGATGCATATATAAAATTGTAGTCCGACTCGTTCTAATGGGATCCCTTACATTGTCCACGTTTTCATCTAGGTCGGATTTTCACGTTCCGGCAAATAATTTGAGCCGCGTCACGACAAAACCAACATAATGGGTTTGCGACCAGCATGGATCCAGACCAGCCTGTGCACCCGCGCAGTCTGATCAGGATCCATGCTGTTCGCTTAAAAACCCTTTTACAAGTAGAGAACAGCATGGATCCTGATCAGACTGCGCGGATGCGCAGGCTGGTCTGGATCCATGCTGGTCGCAAACCCCACTATGATGGTTTTGTCGTGACGCGGCACATATATACCCCAAACAAACACTATCAATCAATGTATCAAGATACTTCGACAGGTTAACATGAATTTCCATGAGGAACAGGATGCAACAGTTAGCTCCCCTTGATTTTGCGGCGGTAATCAGGAAATATGACTATGAAACTGTTGCTCAATTTGATATTACCTATGCAAGACGATGACATTTGTTTGTCGCTTCTTTCCCAGCATTTCAAAGCTTAAAAACAATCACTTAATGATTCGTCGTGAAGTGTTCAAATGAAGATCTCTTACCTGTCAAAAATAAAAACTATAAAAAAAATAAAAAGAAAAAATATCAAGGCCGTGCGCACTGTCAGACTAACGTACCGTTAAGTACGTACAAGGTCTTTAAACGTCACATACTAGGACTACATAAATGTATATAAATCACGTTTAACATTAGCAGAACTAAAAAATCGTTCTGCAATAGGTATACATATTTTTTATGTAATGCCTACACTCTATACCATTTATAAACTACATTCTACATTTTGAATTTTACATAAATAAAAAAGCAACATTTTGAATGTTACTTTCTTTGTTCACTACTATCACATGGGTTTTTTAAATCTAATATTTGGCACAATTGCTTAGGTGAATGATACGCGCATGCTTTAAACCGTCAGATATACTTCAAAATATGATATATGACCGTAATCTACGAACGGCTCATGTACAGCGTTTATCTTAACAGCCCATCTTGGAATTTGAATAATTTAAATGATGTCATGAACAATGCGTTTACTGATATCATTGAGTTTTTCACAGGTACTCGACTTTGATCATATACAAAGTTAGTTAAATTGAATGAACGAACGATCTATTAAGATAAATACATCTTTACAAAAGATATTTGACGATACATGTATATTTTGTATTCACAGCAAAATCATGTCAATTTTGACTCTTTTTTTATTTGTTAAAAATATGTTAAAATATTTAAAAGAGGCCGACATTTTATCTTTTTAAGGCTACACATATTCAGCACATTAGAAATCGTATATATGCGCATTTTAAAGAAAATATGGTATCAGGCGTTGGAATGGGACAGATGCCCTTGACTTAAGTCTCTGCTCAGGTTGGGAGATAAACCGCAAATTCTTCTCTTTAAGATGAAAAGGAGAAGAATGATTAAAGAAAATACTTATAGTACAAACGTTAACTTAAAACTTAATATCACAAAGATAGATTAGCCGCGTCATGACAAAACCAACATAATGGGTTTGCGACCAGCATGGATCCAGACCAGCCTGCGCATCCGTGCAGTCTGATCAGGATCCATGCTGTTCGCTGTCAGTTTCTCTACTTGTAATAGGGTTTGTAAGCGAACAGCATGTATCCTGATCAGAATGCGCGGATGCGCAGGCTGGTCTGGATCCATGCTGGTCGCAAACGCACTATGTTGGTTTTGTCATTACGCGGCTCAGATGTTTGCGATAAGGCCAAAATGTTCGGTGGAGGCGAATGGTTGAACAAAAAATACCGTTAATTTGTCTTTTTTAAGATCCTAAGCCAAAGCAAGGCAAAACATATCATATCGAAAACGCGTTCACGCCGCGGACATATCCAATACACTTAAGGGGAAGTAATACACGTTGAATACATTAAAAATAAATGCACATTTGTTACATTCTCTTATTCATAGTGCACACACTACAACTTTAGATTGTCTGTTTTCGTCTTATTTTTCTCGTGTTTTCCATGAGTATACGAAAAACGAAACATTTTTCTCGCGCCAAAAGGAAAACTCCACGAGGCATCAGTCGCGAGTACAAATGTAAGAAATACAAGGTTTTTTTGAATGCAATAATAATAATAAAAATAATAATAATAATGATGATAATAATAATAATAAAAAGAATTAGAATTACATACTAGAAACACTTACATCACAATTTCTATGTTCTTTAATATCTAATTTTGGTTCAATAGTTTACGTTTCATAAAAATGAAAAGTGGAAAATTTGGGTAAAAGGGATGGTTCTGAGGGGATACCTTAGGTGACTAATTTCAGTCAACAATGTTCTGTTTCTTTCAGTTCCACATATTTGAAAACTCTGTTAAACTTTTATTCAAACGTTGTCCAAATGGAAAATGTGCCGGCCTGACATTACTGTGACAGCGTAATTGAAAGGTCACAAAGGGTCATTGACGTCGTGGATTAACCAATCGGACTGTTTTATGGTATAGAACGTGACGTCACAATATCAATTCGACGTTGTTAGTAACGTCAGCGCTCGGAGGCATTTAAGAAAAAATCAAGCAAACACATAATTAAATGATGGGTTATTTGTTTCATTATTAAATCTTTTGTTAAATAATCGAAGAAAATGGCGGACGATGAAGGGAAGAAAATGTCAGTCTATGGGAAAACTATTCTCAACCCACAAGAAGAAATGGGACTGTTGAAAAACATATATTGGGTACGTTATTCATATAAAAATGTCGTTTTCATAGTAGCGTATACACATGTACATGCATACATGCTGATATTAATTGGAACACAGCCTTTCATATTTCAATTGTTTATTTGCGCATCGTCACATTAAAATATTATCGAATAAAATGTTGTCAAAATAAGTTTTTTTAAGTACATCAAACAAGAGGTATCGCATAATTATACATATTTTAATACGGTGATATTAGCACTTGTTCCAGTAACATGAAAGTATATATTTGAAATATCTGGGTTGCGTTTAATGGAAAGTCCTAAATCTAAATATGTCTTACGATTAAAAACAGAGACAATGTTCGTCTCGAAGAAAATGTCCTATAATTCTACAACAGGTATATAGCTTTATACACTTTAATGTGTTGGCATTCTGCTTAAGTTATACATTATTAATTTGCATTCATATTATAGCGCACTGTCAAACACATTGCTAGAGCAGTTGTTATTTACTTTATATCACAGCGTACTGTCAAACACATTGCTATATCATTTGATATTTACTTTTTATTATAGCGCACTGTCAAACGCATTGCTTTCGCATTTGTAATTTACTTTATATTACAGCGCACTGTCAAACACATTGCTTTAGCATTTGATATTTACTTTATATTATAGCGCACTGTCAAACACATTGCTTTCGCATTTGTAATTTAGTTTATATTACAGCGCACTGTCAAACACATTGCTTTAGCATTTGATATTTACTTTATATTATAGCGCACTGTCAAACGCATTGCTTTTGCATTTGTAATTTAGTTTATATTATAACGCACTGTCAAGCATATTGGCAATGTCGTTATTTACTTTATATTATAGCTGACAAACGATATAACTGTCAAGCACGTCGTTAATGTTGTTATTTACTTCATATTATAGCGGACAAACGATATTCCTGTCAAGCACATTGGCAATGTTGTTATTTACTTTATATTATAGCGGAAAAAAAGATATATCTGTCAAGCACATTGGCAATGGTGTTATTTATTTTATATAATAGCGGACAAACGATATATCTGTCAAGCACATTGCTTTAGCATTTGTTATTTACTTTATATTATAGCAGTCAAACGATATTTCTGTCAAGCACACTGGCAATGTTGTTATTTACTTTATATTGTAGCGGACAAACACAAACGGTATTTCTGTCAAGCACATTGGCCATGTTGTTATTTACTTTATATTGTAGCGGACAAACACAAACGGTATTTCTGTCAAGCACATTGGCCATGTTGTTATTTACTTTATATTATAGCGGACAAACGATATATCTGTCAAGCACATTGCCAATGTTGGAGATGGTACAGGTATATTTACAGGGGTAAAAAAATGGAGCCGCAATGAAATTGACCAACTTATTGCAGAACGTAAATATAACGGGTACGGAAAACGGACGAAGAGTTCAGTGGTTAGTAATACCTGTTTTTTACGATGGTACATGGCAAAAAATTTCAAGTATCATTTTTCTTTTGTGTTTTCTGGTTTTCGTTCCAAAATTTAAGATAGGCCTATACATGTATATGCGATTAATGTATAAATATAGCAATAGGATAATGTTTGAAAAAGAGCTTTCAAACAGTTATAAATTATATTTGATGTACTAAATGTTTCGAAAATAACATTTTCGCATTCCAAACAGGGTAAATTACATACATGTAAATGATTATTATGTAAGTAGTTTTAAACAGAGAAATATAGGCGTAGCGTAATAATCAGACTTGAACATCGAAATTGCCAGACTTTAACTCCGAAATTAACCTATATTATCGGACTTTAATTCCAAAATTAATCGAAATTATCAGACTTGAACATCGAAATTAATCGAAATTATTGGACTTTAACGGCGAAATTAATCGAAATTATCAGACTTGAACATCGAAATTCATCTAAATTATTGGACTTTGACGGCGAAATTAATCGAAATTATCAGACTTGAACATCGAAATTTATCGAAATTATCAGACTTGAACATCGAAATTATCAGACTTGAACATCTAAATCATCATACTTAAACATCGAAATTATCAGACTTAAACATTTAAATGATCATACTTTAACATCGAAATTATCAGACTTCTATGAGCACTGTTTTGTTTATTACCTACAGATTGCAAATATTTTGGCTTACTTTACGACTAAATACAATGGTTAAAAATTGATAAATGTCGATTCTATACCTAAAATTCTCTCTTGCAAAGTTTGATGAATATGGATTTCAATAAAAGGGAGCTACTTAAAGACATTTTAATCTAAAGAGATAAGATTTAGAAATCATTGTGGCGCCATTATATGTCGCAATGAAGCTAAATGTCGCGCTATTGCTGTTCAATGTCGCAACCGCCGCTAATTGTCTAAAATATTTTGTCGGCAGATGGATCGGGACATTCCTTTATATCCCAAAGCTACTAAATACATGTATATACAAACATTTACTCAAAGTTTATTGTAATTAAATACGACTAGCTAACTTAATTGTATCATAAATATACATCTTGCGACATCAAACGGTAGTGTTGCGACATTTAACGGCAGAAGATTCTGCGGCATTTAGTGGCGTTTGCGACATTTAGCGGCAAGTGCGACATTTAGCGGGGTTGCAACATATAATGGCGTCACTTTCATCTTTGATGCAAAAATTGATCTTTTTTTTGCAGACCTGCATTTTCTTTAATCAATTTGCTATGAACCAACGTATAAACTATATATATAGCATTCATTATGTTTCACCGAACTCACTTAAACTTCTTTATACAGGTTGACGTTGTGCCTCCATTTGAAAGATTTATTGACTGTAAGACTGATTACGATGCCAAAATGCACAGAGATGATAGAAAGAGTGTTTATATGATCGGACGCTCAGTACATGACGAGGTATATGTAACAATGTAACCAGTATGTTCCATACAATATATTTCAAAGCTTTAAAAGTTCAGGATGTGTCGATATTTTTATGTCATATTCATAATATTATATTATTTAGTATAAGCTAGTTATTCAAAAGTGTTCCCGATTTTTCCGCTCATTAACCGAGTTAAGATGTTTTTTTCACATTTTTAAAAAAAAAAAATTGGTGATTTTTTAAATCATCAAAAAGACATAAATTTCCGAAAAGACTTTTAAATTGCCGAAAAGACACCCTCAGAAGTGCAATGAGCTGAACTTCAATGATTTTTGCGTATTTTTCAGGAAGCTGGCCGTTTAGTTCCTTCTTTGTCTTCGTCAAATTACGGAAGAAGACTAAATCAACCACTGGAATCTTTTGATCGTAGCCACGCGAGACGGGAGCGCGTGCGAAAGGGATTCTATTACAAGCGAGGTACTGGACTTCCTCCAATCGATGACCTGTTGACAAAATGCAATCCTAATTTCTATGAATAAAATTAAGCTGAAAAGGATAGCTTTATTGTCATTCATGATATCTATATATTATTTCAAAAAGATATTTAAGGATCGTTTTAAGTAAGTCATAAACGTGTTTGATGACAGCACGATTGACATGTACAATGACGACCACTCAATATCGTTATAATCCATATAAAAATCTCAAGATGAACCGAAATGTTTTTAATGAGTTTATTAGTTTTTCTGGATAGAATAATCTGTAAGTATTTACTCCCTCCTTAATTTGTACTGTAAGTGTGTGAATTTCTAAAAGTTAAAGTGACATTATGCCCAACCAAGAGAATACTACGGAAGCGTCCTGATGCCAATTTAACATGTTCTATAAAAAAGATAACTCCTACGTAGGACTTTGTAACTCCTACGTAGGAGATAAAAAAGCCTAATTAAGAGTTTTAAAGCCCTACGTAGGAGTTTAAAAGTCCTACGTAGGAGGTAGGACTTTATAAGTGTTCCTCTACGTAGGAGTTATAAAGTCCTACGTAGGAGTTATAAACTCCTAATTAGGCTTTTTTATCTCCTACGTAGGAGTTACAAAGTCCTACGTAGGAGTTACAAAGTCCTACGTAGGAGTTAAAAAGTCCTACGTAGGAGTTTAAAAGTCCTATATATACCTAGGAGTTATAAACTCCTAATTAGGTTTTTTTTATCTCCTACGTAGGAGTTACAAAATCCTACGTAGGAGTTTAAAGGTCCTACGTAGGAGTTAAAAAGTCCTACGTAGGATTTTTAAAGTCCTACGTAGGAGTTTTAAACTACTAATTAGGCTTTTTATCTCCTACGTAGGACTTATAAAGTCCTACGTAGGAGTTATAAACTCCTAATTAGGCTTTTTTATCTCCTACGTAGGAGTTGCAAAGTCCTACGTAGGACATATAAAGTCCTACGTAGGAGTTATAAACTCCTAATTAGGCTTTTCTATCTCCTACGTAGGAGTTTTCAATTTTTTATAGAACACGTTAAATTGGCACCAGGACGCTTCCGTAGAATACATTGAGTGAACTGTTGAAAGAAAAAAACAAAGTTTGCAATCCGCCATAATTCATTTTAATTTCATAATAGTGAGAAGTTATCACATATATTTTCATTATTGAAGAATAACGGTGTTTTGGATTAAGAGATTGGACATAGCCTCAGGTTCTAGGCGGGGTTAATAATAACTGTCACGGTCATGGATTACGTGCTCGAAGATCATCAGATCGGTGATAATGGAACATTGGACTTTGCAACGATTTAATCAGGCGGAGTCTTGCGACAGCTCAATTGATGACAAGAGATGACGTCATTTTACACATGATTTGTCCGTATTTTCTGACCAGTATACTGATGACGTTCTATTGAATGACCTCAATGAGTGTGACTTTATGGCTGTTGAGGATGAAGTTATATAGAGAAAACCCACGTGATATTTGTGTCCAGTTAATTTTGCGGAAGTATAATTCTTCTGAAACCGACTTAGATCGCATGAGATGTGATTACTTCGAACATCTTTAATACACTTGTGCTGAATTTCCGTTTGATAAAAATGCGGAACTCAAAAAGCGTGTTTTTACGCGCTCAGGGGATCCAGTTGCATTTAGATTGGCACAAGATATCTATAACATCATAAGCGTGACTGAATGTACCGATTTTAACATCTTAAAGAACATGATTAGTACTGCAAAGGTCCGCAAACAGCATGTAGGGAGCATGTCAGCGATAAGGCCGACAGAAAAATGTTCTTGTAGTAACGAAATATCTTTAATGAAAGATTCAATAGCCTCATTACAAGTAAACATATTACTTATTAAACAAACAATGCATGCCCAAGAGATTTCACACAATGAGCAAATGAAATATGTTAAAGATACTTATTTAAAAATAAAGACAGATATACTTAGTTGTGCCCAGCTTACAAACACTGTGTCTTCATCAACAGTAGCTACGATTAGAAATATAACGCAATCTGTGGTAGAGCGGGTTACTGAATTTGAAGACCGAGTGCGTTTAATTGAAGTGCAGCATCAACCCGGGGTTTTCAAGGAAATCAAACAGTGGAAATAATATGAAAAGCAAAACCGTTGTCAATGCTTGTGCATTTTCTCCGCAGATTAACGCATACACAGCGGAACGCTTATGCCAAAATGATAGCATATCACTTTCAAAAAATGCGTGTACACCAGAAATATACACAGAGACAGACAAACAAGAAGAAACAGAGAGGTCAGTCTCATTCAATGAAGTAACAAGTTATACGCCCGAGGCTGAGAAAGTAGGGGAAACAATACTGGTACGAGTGACAACTCGAGAACAACAAGTGTTGAGCGGTGATAGATTGTTCAAAAATGATTTTAAGCTTGTTAAAAGGAAACGCACTGAGAGATTTTGTGTACTTGGCCTTAGTTCTTGTCTTAATACCGAGCTCCTTAAATCGGTTATCGAGGAAAAGGGGCCGTGTGTAAGAGGAATGAGAATATTCAAGTTACGTCGCAACCCTGATAAGGTTCTACTAAAACTGACACTGATAGCCAATGATAAAGCAAGGCTTGTTCTTAGTGATGACTTCTGGCCACACTACGTTCGATGCGAACCGTGCTTGGCATTGGAGTCACGGCGTGAACGGCCATATTTGTCAAGACGGACGCATAATAACAATAGCGATAGGCAAGTTGCATGTTATTGTTATGAAATCTATTAATAGTAACAAATTGCTGATAAGATATACAGGTAACTTTCGGGTGGTTGGCAAAAAATATGGTGGCTAATAAAATGCAAAATATAGTAATTTTATATTTACAATAACAAACTTATTTTTTATGAAACAGCTTAGTATTTTATATCATTAGAAAGGTCATTTTACTCATATTTTAAAAATTAAAAAATAAATTTACAAAACGCTTTCATTTTTTCTTGGTAAAGAGTTAAACTTGGTGCTAGATTAATAAAAATTTAATATTGAAATAACAGTTAAAAAATAGCTGAGCATTCTTTTTTAAAAGCAAAAAATGAAAATCCGCTTACATTTCAAAAATAAGAATGTAAAAAACTTTCAAATGATATAAGAATTTAAAAAATCGATCCACAAATAAAAAAGTTATTAGAATTTAAAAATTATAGTGCTATATAATGCATATAAATATTGGTTCTTCTTGCCAACCGGCAAATCTGCTAAATTCTGGTAGCAGGTGCTTGTGATGTCATCAGTCAACTTGCCTATAAAGGATTCACCCAATCGGGATATCACTTACAGACGGTAAGGCATTCAACATTTGGCAACAAACAAGATTACCCATTTTACAGTGGAAAACCTTATATGCAAAAATACAAGGGGCATCACTCGGGAGAATTATATCAGAATGTTTCGGATCATTCACATTGGTCAAATCATTTCAGTATTTTGGATGAAACAAACTGCTATGTTGACTAAAACTATATGTAAAAAAAGTATATATCAAATGATGATCATTATGGCAGTTTTATATCTTATTTTGATGTTAAATGTTGTAACATGGAACATTACTGGAATTATGTCCAGTGCGGGCTACCTTAGTAATATTTTAGATGAGGGAAATATAGATATATGTGGCTTATCCGAGCATTGGTTAACGCAAAAGAACTTTCACTTTATGGATTCTATCTCGTCGGAATTTATGCATTATACAGTTTGTGATATAAATAATGTGAGAAAAGGTGGTGTATCTATAATGTGGCATAGACGTTATAACAATTTAATTTCGAAAGTTGAGACTGATAGTGATCGTATAATAGGGATACAATTAGAAATTGGTTCTTCATTATTTGTTTATTTTTTCAAGTTTATCTGCCATGTAGTAACTATTCTGTAACAGCATACAATGAAGTTATGTCAATGATGTATGATATTTATAATACATACTGTGATAAAGGTATCATTGTCTTTATGGGCGATTTTAATGCAAACATTGACAATGCAAAGTTTTCTGGCAGGAGCGCAACCCTGAATTGTTTTATTAATGATTGTAATTTATTTGCTGTAAACACTACGCATAGATGCTTTAATAAGACAAGTACATATGTCTCATATGATGGACGCTTTACGCCTACTATTGATTATATATTGTTAGGCAATGAATTCTCAAACATTTTATCTTACATTGAAGTAGCTGATGATTGTTCTTTAAATGTTTCATGTCACAAACCCATACTTTGTAGTTTAAACTTTGAGTGTTACATGCACAATGATGTCAGTTTCGAAACTAATACAAATGTTGAAACAATAAACTGGAAAAAAGTTCAAAGCATACATATTGACAATTATAAAGAACAGTTGAAAAGTGCATTTAAAAACATTGATTTCAACGGAGATAAGAACTTGTCTGATACTTATGATACTATAACTGAAAATATTATATTATGTTCTAAATCTTTTCCAAAGAAAAAGTATAGAAAGAACATGAAACCTTATTGGTCGATTGAATTTCTCAATGTCACGAAGAAGTGAAACAAGCCAGAGAAGTGTGGTGCCGGGCAGGGCGACCACGCGGAATAAACCACAAGGAGTATGCAAATTATAAATCTGCAAAGACTAAATTCAGAAAATTGCATAGGGCGGTAGTGAATTCATATTTGCGTGATTTCGATCATAAAATAGAGGTCAAAGCTGAATTAAATAGTGATTTGTTTTGGAAAGATATTCAGGCACGTAAACAACAAACTAGCGTTTTAGGAAGTAGCATGTGCTTCAATGGAATAAAATACAACTGTCGCAGTGATATAGCAGAGCAGTGGGCTAATTATTTCAAAGATCTGTATAAACCTACGGCTTCAGAACAGTTTGATAAACCTTGGTATGATTTTGTAGAACAATATGTGAGTGAGTCTTTTAATAAAATGAATCTCAATAATAATGTGACTATATTCGAGGAAGATGTAAAGTCAGCCATTCAGACTTTATCGAGAGGTAAGGCAAGCGGACCGGATGGTATTGCCCACGAACACTTGTTATATGGCGCGGATATATTATCACCGGTATTAGTAA